AAATAAGCGTTAACAAGGTGTGAGTGGACATACAACTGACAAATGGAGGCGATTCGGAGGGGAGCTGAGAGTATGGGATTATGTGTGATTATAAAACAAAATATAGTGCTAGAAACAGTATTGTGATATACAATTGGCTGTCTTCCTTTTATTATCGAAGCTATTAGAGCTGAAGGATTTTGAAGAATTCTTCGTGTGTCACTTTGTTGAGTTGCGATGTACAGAAACGTGTGTATGTTATCGTACGGCAGGCTAGACAAAAACATCAGTTGACTACAGTACAGTGAAAACAGGTTTGGCTGATCTTATGGGGTTTGTAAGCCTATTCGCTCAGGAGTTTAGTTCCATGTTCATTGAAGAAGATGAGGGATCCACGGCTTATCCTGAAAGTCAGAGTATCGCTCCATAAGCGAGTTGAACTGCAGTATATCCAGTCCCAGCTTTTAATGCATCGTAAATACCGAGCAAAACGAGAAGGGCGTCGGTCCACGGCGAAACGATTCTAGCTAAGAGTGAATCTTTAAGCTATCGTTCTATTTTATTTCTATTGCTTGTAAGTGGTAAAAGCTTTTTCGGAATCACGTGATTCCTTTGATCTGGTTTGCATGTTCTGTAGTGTTAGTTGTAGGGCAGTCGAAGTTTGCTAGCAACCGTCCCACAAAGGCGCGGGACACTGTTTCAACAGTAACTTTCTTGATGGGTACTGCTTCAGACCATCATGTGAAACGCTCCACACACGTGAAAAGGTAACATTATCCATTTGAATCTGGCAAGGGTTCCATCAAATTCAGGTGGACATAGTCGAGACAACTGTCGGGTGCTTTGAAAGAGCTCAAGAGTCATACGTCCTGTTTATTCACCTTACATTTCTTGCAGTTTACATAGGCCAACAAAATAATGCTTACTTCTCTGAACTCTGATTGTGTGATTAGCGAGGTATCAAACATTTCATTAGAACTGTCTTTAGTGGTCAGCAACCAAACTGTAACTATAGCATCATTAAATTCTCTTGACCTGGGTTAGATGGTTCAAGATCAACAAGTAAGAGTCCACAACTTATGACCGAAAATTTATCGTCTTCAGTTAGCAAATTGCAATACCTAAGAACAGGAAGTTTATTACATGTAATACTCGGAATAGAAACTTTGATAGGTTTAATTATAGCACTGGAATATAATTACTTCAATTTCCCAACCGAAATGATGAACTTAGTAATACCAGTGCGAACAATAAATTCGTGAAAAGAAGCACTGGATAGATATAATTGTTTTCCAATTCGACGTGAGTTACTCGAAATAGAAAATAAGGATAATATAAGATAATTATCAGAACAATCCAAATTAGTAGGATTCGAATTAAGAATTTTAGTGTGACTTGCAGACAGACTGGATTTGTCACACCTAAAGCATCTGACGTAAGAACAGGTGAGAGGTTGTTTGGAGATGCGATTCAAAACATTGGGTGTGTGCGTGGAGCAATGCTTAAAAATGGTCCGTAAAAAGATTAGATAGACTGCTTGATAATTTCAAGGTTGTGAATGATTAAAATAAGATTACTGAAATAAGAAGTTACTAAAACGGGTTGCATAATAAGTGAACAGGTTTGGAATGAATTAAAACCTATGAATGAAGAGATAAGTTTGGAATATACAAAGATAACAATTAGTTCGGCGAAGACCGCGTAACAAAAGCTGCAATTAGCAATAATGATAATAACGAAAAATAATAATTGACCAACGCCGTAAAAGGTTGATTTTTGTCGCATTCAGGATACATGGATCATGTGTGAGATTTCTTGCTAGTGTTTCGAGGAGCACATGTGGTGGGACAATAGAGAGCAAAGCACATATTCTCACTTTCGAAAACGTTCCAAAGGATTTGAGATGGAGAGTCACAACTGCTTCGAACAATTTAATTTATGGGCACTTAATTGACCCCTTACAATGTTGCTTACTCTCGTTAATTCTATTTCTCCAGGGAAAGCACAGAATACGATCGACAGATTAATTGCAACAAGTTAATATAGACTTTACAGATGACCTAATCTAGCCATTCTATCTCACTATATCAAAACATGCACGTCAGAACACTGGTAAAGCAACTGCAATAAAATAGTAGGCATCAAAATAAACAAGGAAAAAACCAAGGTCCTCAAATACATCACGAAGAACACCGATCCAATCACACTTTCTAGAGACGTTCTGAAAGGGTTGGGAACTTTCATGTACTCGGACAGAATCATTGATGAACAAGGAGGATCCGATGCAGACGTAAAGGCGAGGATTGACAAATTAAGGACAGCATTCCTACAGTTGAAGAACATATGGAACTCAAAACAACTGTCTGTCAACCTACATCAAAGTCACAATCTTTAATATGAACGTCAAGAAAGTTCTACTATACGGAGCTAAAACTTGGAGAATCATCACAAACATAATCAAAAAAGTACAAGTACTTATAAACAATTGTGTATACAAGATACTCAATGTCCGTTGACTGGATACCATCAGCAACAGCCTACTGTGGAAGAGAGCAAACCAGCTTCCAGTCGAAGAAATTAGGAAAAGAATTTGGAAGTGGATAGGACATAAATTTCGAAAGTCATCAAACTGCATCACGATGCAAGTGCTAATTTGGAATACTGAAGGGGAAAGGAAAAGAGGAAGATCAAGTAACACACTCAGTCGGGAATAAGAAAACAGACCTCAAAAAAGTCAATAGCAACTAGAAAGGATTGCTCGGGACAGTGTTAGATGGAGAATGCTGGTGGGCGGCCTATGCCCACTCAACGAGCAGTAACAGGAGTGAGTAAGGTGGCTATCAGTGTTACAAACAACTAGTTAAACTTTTAAACGGGGATTACCGGGTTTCAAACTTTATGGTTTAAAGATTGAGATCATGAGTCAACTAAAGATAGACCACCATGGGAAACCTGGAACCACTGGACAGCCGTTTCGTCCTATTGTGAGACTCCTTAGCATTGCGCATCCACGGTCCCTCACTGCTGAGGAGCCCCACAACAGAACGAAATGGCCTTCCAGTGCTTCCAGGTTTTCCATGGTGGTCTAGCTTCAACTGACTCATGATCTCAACTATTAAAAAACTACTATAATATCCACAAAAAACCCCTTCTGATATTACTCAACATATGCTCACTAGCGACTGGTTTCAAGAGGTATTTCCTGGAGTTCTAGTGAGACGCAGTGACCAGTGAAGTTCAACTGGGTCTGTTGTCAGATAGTAACTTACTGAAGACAATGGTGGGTATGTTGCTCAGTTTCATGGACTAGTTGACCTAGATGTTAAGCGTCCGCGCACGAGATCGATAGGTCTTGGGTTCAAATTTCACGAGGTGGGATCGTGGATGCGCACTGTTGAGAAGTACCACGATAGGACGAAATGGCCTTCCAGTGCTTCCAGGTTTTCCATGGTGGTCTAGATTCAATCGACTCATGATCTCAACTATTGAACTTATCATTCCTTTTCCCATATATATATATATATATATATATATATATATATATATATATATATATATATATATATCTTAATAGTTTCTTCGCTTCGATTCTATTTGACTCTGACTCTTCCTTTGTAATTGCCTCCTTGCGCGCTATTCAGTCATAAAATATAGTCGGCGCTTCGTATTGCTTTCTGAAGTCATACACCGTTAACATTTATTTAATGATAGTTATCAGAGTGATTGATACACGAAGCCTAAGGAATTATTATGGAGGCAAGCCACTAGAAGACCACCGAACATATTGAGTCGGGAATCGGCTGCACAGACGAAAAGAATGAGTGGCTGCAAGGAGCAACACTGAAAGGATTGCCTGGGAGAGTTTGCTCAGAAATCGTGGTGAGCGAGCTGTGCTCGGCCACAAGGAGTGACAGACGTAGGTCTCTAAATAATTATACCACTGGCATTCCATAAGCTTTAAAATTCATTAGGAGACAAGAAACACAGCGTCTCTTCGGTTTGTCGAAGCAGTAGCAACAAAATCTTACACTTGATTGATATAACCATGTATCAACTCTGTTTTCGATTATTATTACCTCAATTGAACCAATGTTTATTTATGAATAAAAGTACTTCCATGTGCATATATATAATCCCAGATACCTGATTGAAATACAGTCGGATGTTTTATCAGAAGTATTCAACGCCTTGAATAAGTACACATGATAATTCTACTCCATTTAAGACAAGCATATTTATTGCACGATCATCAGCTACCATATTAGGCTTTCCTGCATGGTGTAGAAGGTTATTACGTTTTATCTCATCGATAGCATAGTAAACAATCGAAGTTTTGAGTATCTCGTTAAAATAGACCGCTACCTAAAAGTAAGAATGCTTATTATTATCGGCTTTAGTCAATATTATATTTTTGATACAGTATAGAATTTTCGGCACAAAGCATTTCAAAAAGTTTCTGTTCCATACCTCTTGGTCGATTCTGCCGATAAATATTGAGTGATCGCCAGTTAGATGTTAGCAGTCCAGTAAATGAACATTTGAATAGTGTATATACTTTTCGTTGCATATTTCCAGCGACCACAATATCTCTTATTGGGCTTCTTGCAACTTTGACAGCGAAAGGTTGTACACTTTTCAGAAACGCACTTGTTGAAATATCTAGATGGCAGGCATAGGTAGCCCAGATCACAACAATCAGCATCCTCCGTTTCATCAAAGACCACTGGACATTAGAACTTCTGTTTTCTACCATATCCCAGCACAAGCCTTTAAACTGGTCTGAAGTCACCATCCAAAATGTAATTAGGGTGATTTAGTTAAACATCTACGTGTGCGTAAAGACTTCACTCTCCTTGTAGAAAGGAAGAACAATATATCTAATGGCCATTTAAAACTACTCTCAATGTTACTTAACAAGTAAAACACCAGAATTTTGACTTTCTAGTGAGTTTCCAAGTTTTTCTGCCATAGCATCATGAGGGATGTGTTAGTGCTCAGTAAGTCTATCGTCACAAGGATATTGAAAGTGCATTTTGTTGGCGCTACATTCTGCCTACACGTTGCTTTAGGATGGCAGGCAATGCTTTGAAAAGACTCATGGCAGAGTACAAACGTGCGTTTCAGTTAATTACTAATATTCTCAAATTTTCAATCGCTATAATTTTGTTGGACTAGCTTAAAACAAGCCATGTCATGTGTACATTTTGGAGGACCAACTGAACATCTTTAGTTGTATGACCTCTATTATCTAACTGGTGCCCCATTAAGTCAAATTGTAGTCCTCACAACCGTCTTTCACTCTAAACAAGCGAAGATGTAATCTTGGTTTTTGTGCCTTTATTATTATTATTATTATTGTCGAAAGCTGGTTCTCAGCTCTCTTATATAAAAGAGGTGGATCATATATGATCCACCTTACACAGATCTTAGGCATATACTGTACGCTTCTGAAGCAAGCTTTTCATAAATCTGTCTTAGTGGCTCTCAATCGCTGTAATTGCTTCTAATTGCTCTATTCACTACCCAAATGTAGCATGTGAAGAACATGAGTTGCTGGTCGTCAATAATAATTACCTATAAACATGTCTAATCTTTTACATTTCGTGAAGTACGTCCTCAAAAAAAAATCGGTAATGCTTATTCTCCACCCCATATATCGTTGTTACCAACTTGTTTTGTCCGAATCAGACATATGTTCGACATTGTGTAGGACTAACTGTGCGATTTGATAGGTGTTGTGAAAGTTTAAGTCGGTATCATCATGTAAATAAAATTCTCTCTTACAAAGTAGATACGGATATGCATTTAAAATGATCTCGTATGATGAAGTCTGTGAAACATCAAGTTAGTGGTTAAATTACTGTTATTTTAGCCCATATATTTCAGGTTTGCACCATATGTCACCTACTTCGACTTAGGCAGCCCATTAGTGTCAATAATCACGCCTGAAATGTGACTCGAAACTTAATAAATAAACCTATACTTGGTAAATTAATTACATTATATTATCTCACGTTCTGATTTATATTACTCGCTCATCCGTTTTAGAATTAACAGTCAATCCACCAGAGGGGATTGTTGCTGGACCAGTGGATGAAAGGAATTTTTTTGAGTGGGAAGCATTAATTGCGTGAGTTAATTGATACTTAAATTAATAAGGAAGATTAAGTGAGATAATGTAATAGCATTTGGTAACTACATTTTGATAAAAACTAACTATGTGGTACTGAGTGTCCAGTTCTAAATAATTGTAGCGAAATAGCTAAAAATTCATTTAACTTTTTATTGTTGAATATTTAAGTCATCAGTACACAAGTTCAGTGCACCTTACGCATTCATTCTGTTATAAATTAGTTATGGACTTCTTATGGTCCTCGCTGTATCATTTCGTCGAAAAGATTTTCTTCGCTGAATTCTCTTTTTCTTATTGAATATGAAGTTGATGGCTTTCATCGTTCAGAAGAACGATGAAAGCTCCACGACCAAACCATCCAGCTCAGAGAACAAAACTCCACCAAAATCATCCACCTGAGCTACAAATCTCCACCATCTCAGTTGATGGCTTAGTGACTAAGTGACTTGACCTTCCACTAATAGGTCATAAGTCCAAACCCTGATCCAAGTACTTTGGGTAGGGAAGCTAAAAATAGTGTCATCAACAGTTTAAAATTAAGCTGAGTACGTAAATCTGTAATTAATCGGTTAAAATATGGCTCATTATTATTATCATTATGTTAACTGAATTATCAAATTTAAATTCAATAATTGTTCACTAATGAGTCGTATTTAAAAGTACATATGTATATTTTTGACAGTTTTCTTTGTAAAAGTTACTTATTACTTATTGAACTTCCTAGTTTTTTATAGTTTTTCATTCTATTCCGTATGTGATATATTATAGTGGACCAGAGGGTACTCCATTTGAAGGTGGTGTTTTTGCTGTACGTTTGAACTTCCCATCAGATTACCCTTTGTCTCCACCAAAAATGCAATTTCTAACTGAAGTGTTCCATCCAAATAGTAAGTATATTCAGTTTTTATTTACTTTATTTTTACATGTAAAGAAGATAATTTAACCGGTTTTGGTAGTGTTGCATTTCTTGAGCTGGATAACTTGGAATCACATCGTCGTTCTGAACAACGTTATCAGCGCTTACGTCATGCAGAATTAAGCTTCACAACTATTCCATAAGTTTCAAACCACTTCGTTCTTATGAATTTGTTTGTTGTTGATGATCTTTGTAATTCTCGTTGTCTTCATTTGTTTTTGTGTTCCTGTTGATTTCTTTGTTCGGTCAACCTTTGACTATGTGGTCGATTGATCTTTTCCCTATGGATCGGTAGATTTAGTCTATGATGATGTATCTCTTGATCGCCGATTAATTCGAATCTCACGCCTTTCGAAACTCTATGAGACCCTTAGAATTTCCTGCACCTAGAAGTTTGATGTTTTCCTAATTGAATTCGTGCCCGTGGTTCTCTGCATGCATTGATAGCAGTGATACCTTGTGTCGTTTCATTTTTGTACAGTGATTGAACCCTTTTTCACAAGTAGTAAGCTGTAATGATATTGTTCAGAGTTACAATGAAATCCTTGCAATTAAACTATATAACTCATGGAAAACAGCACCACGAAAATGTCCTTCCATCATCACTAGCTGATAATCGTGCTATCATTGACTTTCCTCCAACTTGTCTGAGAAAAATTCATAATGTTACGGAAAGCTGGAAGTCACATAAGTTACCACGAAGTTTAAATCTCGGTAAATCCAACCTCCTGGTTTCAATCAGAGAAGTAGATACTTAGGATAATGATAATGCTGAAACTAGTTTTTATCACAAATATGTCTAGGTTGAAAAAATTTGACCAGTGGATTTCAGGTTGAGGTGGCGTAATGGCATATTAGAAAGACTTCTTTTGTGTTAATAATAATAGTAATAACGTAATCACTAGCGTCTAGTTTTGAGATGGATTCTAAAAGTGCAAATGTGAATTTATGTCTAGTGAAGTTTAACTGTTAAGTTTCAACAATTTTCCATCATTGAAATTTGACGGGTTGATTTACTACTACTATATATATATATATATATATATATATATATATATATATATATATATATATATATATATATATATACCGATACTTGATCATTTTTCGTTTGATTTTACTGTCTATCCGACAGTGTGTAAAGAAAATTCATATAATCGCTCAAGTTATCATTAACTATTAACTACTGATCTTTCCCCATTGTTGACACTCATAGACTAGAATGGACAAATATTTACTGTAACATACACTTCTTGATAGATGGATGCCTAAGTCATTACTACACTCAAAGTTAAATAGCTTGTTAACTTTCCATTTAATAACAAATATACCTAATTGAACAAGTTAGTGATTCTCATAGTGGATAAAACTGACGTTTGAAGCAATGTTATCAAATATTTCCGGGGATATCTAGGCCAAAATGTGTGACACGCCCATATTTAGAACACAGGTGTAAGTGATGGATTGATATTTGTTCAGATGAATCCAAACAAGAACGTTCCAAGTAATATATCTGCCGTACTATGGAAATAAACTAGTGAACTTCGATTATCATGCTTCCCGCTAGGAAACAATTCCCATTGGGACTCAATTATGACATTAGGGACATCCCTGTTTGGATTCATGTGGATAAATATCGATTTGCCACATCTAGTTGCTTTCTGAACATCAGCTTATCACTTCTATTAGCCTAAATATGGCTGAACATAAACATTTAGTCTCAGTGTAAATGTCAACCTTGAATTGCAAGCCTATCCAGCTGACGGGTACTGAATAGAAGGAAACACCTCCTACATCTAACAACTAGTCACCATCATGTTTTAAATAAAACTACATCATTTAGGTTGCTGCGGAGTCGTTTGTAGGGCTGAGGTTATCCACAACATTTTTAATGTTCAATAAGGTTGTTGTACCCAGCTATTTTGCCACTTTTTGCTATTCACTTAAAGGGTAATTGCTACACATTAGAGTATACTTTTTCATTACCGCTTCTGTCAGGGAAGTCCTACTCACTGCCTTCTCGTGGCGGGCGTGTTGTTTACGAAATTGAGAGGACGAAAAGCGAATGTCCGGCTCTTTAACCGGATCCTAAACCAATGGTGCACATGGTCTCCAGTATCCTGCGGGAGCAAATGGCGCATGGACCAATCGTTGGTCACCGGCTACCATGAGACTGCATCTCCACACGATGCTCCATTGCCTTGTGGGTCGGACTTTTAGGTCCAAGGCTCGGGGTGTGGCCTCCTAAGAAAACCACCTGCTTCGGTCTGGGCACCCGGGCAGTATCCCAGCCCTCACACAAATTGAATGATTTATGTGGCGCATATGTATTTGGTGCCTCCTTGTACCAATGTTTATGTGTTTAAATAAGTAAATAAAATAATAAAACCAGGACTAAATGAGGGTTACAAACCAATGTGAGGAATTGGAATTATGATTTACAGTTGATGGTTATGGTTAGGAATTAGATTTAGGGTTTTCATCACGGACTGACATAAACTAAAATGCCAGAACGCTATTCAGCTGAATAAGTGAATGAATTTCACGCCAAAGTCTAATACCCGTTGCCTTATATCTGACTGGTTCGTCCATAAATTATACTCACTCTTTTATGTTATGTTTTTTCATCAGGAATATCACTTCGCGATTGGCTGACATTCATAGCAGAGAGTTACGGATAAATCTGAACGCTTAAAAGCATATCTTTGGTGTAAATTGCTCTCTGATACTTATGACCCATCTACTAAACGAACGGATAAGTTACCGAAGATGATGGGTGCAGCACACTTATACTGGACGTCGGAAATGTTGCAGATGACCTCAGCCATCTGTAATCACATAATCATCTATAATCAGTGATGAATAACTTATTTGAAAACAGTTTTTCACGCTCGACTCAATGACATTTTGAATATAGTGTGTTTAATTTCAGTTTTATTATATTGAATCTGAAGAACAAAAATTAGGGAAAATAGTAGTCTTCGTTTTATTCCAAAGTCCCTGTCTTATATTATTATACTCTTGGAATCGCCCAAATATAATGATGTTCATTCGTATTAATATTTCCTGTAAAGTGTAACAGTTTATTTGAAAGAAATGGCCTTATTTACTGGCCAGTTATTCTAGTCTTTTGATATTAACCTATTTTGAAACGGGTTGAGATCAAGAATTTCTTCCTCTGAACAGTAATCGTGGTTAAGATACATTTTATGTATGCTCAAAAACCGCCTATTTCGACGCGTGATATTTACCACTGGTGTGGGAGGTTGGAATGAAACAAGTAATCAAAACAAGATATTTAATCAATCCACTCAGTTGTTGACTGTCGATCTGAACCATGTATGCATGTGTAGACTAATTGGCTAGGATACTTGCGACTATCGCAACCAGTAATTGGACTTGTTGAGTGATATATCTCAGCATTTTTTATTATGGCACAAATGTGCTCACTGTTTATCTTCCCTCTCAAAACAACTTTGTACTTTTTATTTCACAGATTCATTCTTGCTTTTCGAATCATATTGATTATGCCTAGTGTTTTCCACCCCATTCTGATACTGTTATTGCTTCCACTACGCTGACATTTGTTTTGCCAATTTATTTGGCTATGGTGATGAAGTGCATCAACATAAACGAATATATATATGTCAAGCTCTACGTTGTTTATGAATGACTGAACAGTAATCATATGATCATATTAGAACCAAACCCCCGTATATAACAGTTACGTCATTACGAAGATTTATCAAATGACAATATTTCATATCTGGTCTGAAATCCAATTGTGTTCATCCCTCGTTATCAGCATCTCATTATCATACAACAAACAAAGAAAATGAACGTAAATTAAGTATTGGTTAACAACTCCATTCTTAGTATGTTTTGTGTACCGTATGTGAGCATTTCTTTTTCAATCTCCTCTCTTACTATGTAGTCTATCCAGATGGACGCGTGTGCATTTCCATACTTCATGCTCCTGGTGATGATCCAATGGGTTATGAAAGTTCCGTTGAACGTTGGAGTCCAGTTCAATCAGTCGAAAAAATTTTATTATCTGTTGTTAGTATGCTTGCAGGTAATTGATTTTAATGATTACGATGAATTAAATCTAGTTTTTGAATTATTTGTTTTTTCTCAGGAAATCATTGTCCTGTTTAGAAAACTACTCAAAAACCATAGAGTCCGACTAACTATCACATTTTATTAAAATCACAAACCGACCAATGTTAGATCGTTATTCAAATCTTGGAAGCACTGGACGACCGTCTCGTCCTATTGTGGCACGCCTCAGCAGTGCGCATCCGTAACTCCGAATTCGGGGATCGAACCCACGACCTCCGGTCTCGCGCGAACACTTAACCTCTGGACCACCGAGTCGGAATCATTTTAATCACAAAGTTTTTATCTCACTATTCTAAATTGTCATCATCGGTAACTTGATACGTAGGAGAAAGAAGCATTTTCTATTGTGATTACATTTTAAGTTTGTTAAAATGATAATCCATTGAATACCAGTGTTTAATAATTAGTAGATAATGCTGGAAAATATCAGTGGTAGTCATACTGACAACAAACAACTGTTTATGAAATCAAATTATCGACGTAACTCAACCCAACCCTCTCATTAAATGAATTGTCATCAAAAGAAAGCTAGCTAGCTCAATAGGTTTTTGTTTAATTTAGTAAAATGATATACTGCCATACAAAGTAGTGAATACATGAGATTATAAATAGTGAGCAGTCATTGGAATCATTAAACAATCGGCGGTCGGGAAAGGAGTGCAGAAATAAAAATTCTGTAGATTATTCGTTCGTGTTTATGAAATTGAGACTTAATTCTTACCCCTATCATATTTACAGTTTCTTATAAGTTAATATTTGGTAGTCTATATAATAAGAACGTTATTGAATCGTTTTTCTTTTTTCGGGGGGGGGGTCATTGAAATTCAGTTCATAATGAAAGTACTTTATTTCATGGATTAACATCAGTTTGGCAATCATTAAAAATCGGAAAGGATTGGTTAGTTGTATTTAGTTTAAGCATCCAACTATCTGATTTATTTGTTGCGAGCTCTTAAGAATTCAGAGAACTCTTCAGGAACTAGGAGAAGAGTAAAAATACTTCGTCTAACCAGTGCTGATTAGAACCTTCAGAGTTCTAAAAAGACGACGTGTTGTGTTTCATATCTTGATTCAACAGTTAGTGGTTTCCCTATTAATTTATCCATATTTCTGGAAGCTTCTAAAATTCTAGAGCCATACATTCTATGCCTAAATTAACTCTGAAAGCAAATTTTGTTTTCATATTTCCTGCCTTTTGTCGTCTGTTTGAGGCTAAAGCGTAGAAAATCCCTTAGGGGGACTAGGATTCGGCTAAAAATTAAGTTCAATAGTTGAGATCATGAGTCGATTGAATCTAGACCACCATGGAAAACCTGGAAGCACTGGAAGGCCATTTCGTCCTATCGTGGTACTTCTCAACAGTGCGCATCCACGATCCCACCTCGTGAAATTTGAACCCAAGACCTATCGATCTCGTGCGCGGACGCTTAACATCTAGGTCAACTAGTCCATGAAACTGAGCAACATACCCACCATTGTCTTCAGTAAGTTACTATCTGACAACAGACCCAGTTGAACTTCACTGGTCACTGCGTCTCACTAGAACTCCAGGAAATACCTCTTGAAACCAGTCGCTAGTGAGCATATGTTGAGTAATATCAGAAGGGGTTTTTTGTGGATATTATAGTAGTTTTTTAATAGTTGAGATCATGAGTCAGTTGAAGCTAGACCACCATGGAAAACCTGGAAGCACTGGAAGGCCATTTCGTTCTGTTGTGGGGCTCCTCAGCAGTGAGGGACCGTGGATGCGCAATGCTAAGGAGTCTCACAATAGGACGAAACGGCTGTCCAGTGGTTCCAGGTTTCCCATGGTGGTCTATCTTTAGTTGACTCATGATCTCAATCTTTAAACCATAAAGTTTGAAACCCGGTAATCCCCGTTTAAAAGTTTAACTAGTTGTTTGTAACACTGATAGCCACCTTACTCACTCCTGTTACTGCTCGTTGAGTGGGCATAGGCCGCCCACCAGCATTCTCCATCTAACACTGTCCCGAGCAATCCTTTCTAGTTGCTATTGACTTTTTTGAGGTCTGTTTTCTTATTCCCGACTGAGTGTGTTACTTGATCTTCCTCTTTTCCTTTCCCCTTCAGTATTCCAAATTAGCACTTGCATCGTGATGCAGTTTGATGACTTTCGAAATTTATGTCCTATCCACTTCCAAATTCTTTTCCTAATTTCTTCGACTGGAAGCTGGTTTGCTCTCTTCCACAGTAGGCTGTTGCTGATGGTATCCAGTCAACGGACATTGAGTATCTTGTATACACAATTGTTTATAAGTACTTGTACTTTTTTGATTATGTTTGTGATGATTCTCCAAGTTTTAGCTCCGTATAGTAGAACTTTCTTGACGTTCATATTAAAGATTGTGACTTTGATGTAGGTTGACAGACAGTTGTTTTGAGTTCCATATGTTCTTCAACTGTAGGAATGCTGTCCTTAATTTGTCAATCCTCGCCTTTACGTCTGCATCGGATCCTCCTTGTTCATCAATGATTCTGTCCGAGTACATGAAAGTTTCCAACCCTTTCAGAACGTCTCTAGAAAGTGTGATTGGATCGGTGTTCTTCGTGATGTATTTGAGGACCTTGGGTTTTCCTTTGTGTAGTCCGCCGTATGAATTTCGGATGATTTACACCGTAATGTCGAACAAGGTTCCATAAGGTTCTTCCCACTTTGTCAAACACCTCATGGACAAGGAGTGCGCTGTATAGCGATGAGTTTTTTCAACTGATTACTCAACAACGATCCATAGTGTCGCTATTCAGTCTGTGCGCGACCGATGCTTACGGAATCCAGCCTGTTTAACTCGAAGATGAGCGTCTACTGAATTTTTCATCCGGTACAGAAACGCTCTGTTGTAAAGTTTTACTTGTACAGATAGTAATGTGTTGCCTCCGTAGTTTATACATTTGCTCAGGTTTCCTTTTTTTGGTATCTTGACGAGGTATCTTTGTTTCCCGTTTGACGGGACTTGTTCCTCTTCCCAAATCTTCCTGAATAGAATGTGGATCATGTTTGCATTTGCTTGTATGTATGACTTGAGTGCTTCGGCTGTTATGTTGTCAGGTGCTGTTGCTTACCCTTTTCTAGGTTTATCATTGGTGAAGTGACATCCATAATAAAGTCTGTGTGCCGATTCGATATCCAATGTATTCAATGGAGCTGGCTTATTCAAGAGTCCTTCAGTGTTCCACCCATCTCTTCCTTTGTTCTTAAATTTCAGTGATTGGTTTGTCTTGTTTGTCGTTGACCTGTCTTTCTGGTTTACAATATTTTCTTACCATTTTCTTCGTTGTACCATATAGTTGGTTGATATTTTTCTGTGTTGCAGCTTTTTCCACTGTTGTTGATAGTTATTCGGTGTATTTCCGTTTGTCTGCTCTTAGGCTCCACTTTACTTGTTTATTTGCTTCTGTGTAATCAGCTTGTGCCCTTGTTTTCTCTGTCGTTGTTCTGCTGTTGTTAATTGCTGTCTTCTTGTTGTTCTTTTCTTGAATCTTGTGCAGGGTTTCGATAGAGATGTATTCCATATGATGATGCTTCTTGCGGCCCGGAACCTCCTGACATGTTGAAGCTAGTGCTTCTGTGATCCGTTTGCAATTTCCCTCCGTAATAGTTTCTTCTTCCTTGAGTTGATCTTGTAAGGCTTGAAACGTGTTGTTGAGAGTTGTCTTGAATTGGTTGGGTAGTTTGTCAATGTGTCGAAAGAAGGCTTTGTTGAACCTTTATAGTGCTGTTTTCCTCGTTGTCTAGTGTTTTTTTGGTGACATGTATCTATGTCAGCTCCCTTCCTGGTTCTCACGTCTTCCATTGACCTTGTGAATTTTTTATTGATGCAAATATGATCGATATGATTCCGTGTAGTGTGATTTGGTGGGACCTATGTAGCTCTGTGTGTGCATTTGTGTGGAAATATTGTACCACCTATAACCACTTTGTTGAATGCACAATTTGCGAATCTCTCACCATTCTAGTTTCTTTATCCCAGTCTGTTCATGTCGTCTCATGATATCTTGATACCTTTTGTTGTCCATTTCGACTTTGACGTTTAGATCTCGTATGAGGGTTTTTAGGTCTTCATCTGAGCACTTCGCTATGATCGATTGCAGCCTCTCATAAAACCTACGTTTATTGGGTGTGTTGCTATTATTGTTGAGTGCATAACACTGGATAACACTCATTGTGATTCCCTCCTTTGTTTTAAAAAATGCTATGATGATTCTGCGTCTATGAGATTCCCATCCTATAAAGGCTTTACGTACTCGTTTGGGCAGGATCAGAGCGACTCCGTGAGTGTGCGGCGCATTTTCTTCTTCGTGGTCAGAATACAGCAGCATTTCTCTCGAATGTGTAACCTTTTCTGTCGAGCTTGGATTTAATGGATTTCGCTTATTCGTAGCACGGTCAAGTTGTGTCTGCTCGTTTCTGTAGCTGTTTGGTCGGTCCTCCAGGTCTCTCACATTGTGTGGACATTGCATGTTCGTATATTAGTTGTTGCTGTGGTTGTTAGAAGGGTTATAGGTCTCTTGACTTCCGAAGAATATTGGCTTTCACCACGAAGTGTCTTAGTTTTTCTAAATGAAGTTTATATGGTTTAAACTGTTTATTTTCGGTCAGCTTTGTTTTAGTAATGTTGTTTTCTACGGGATTGTGGTTACGGACCCCATGTACAGCCCTCCTCCTTTACCCGGTTTTGGGAACGACATAAACACTTGAAAAGCTACTGGCGTGGTAGTATGTTATTAATCCTGTTAGTAGTGGTCGTTCTACAAAAAATTACTTCACACGGATCAATTATTGGTGAATACAATAAAATTAATTTTCGTATTTGATTATCGTAGATTTGTGTCATGCTCAGTCGAAACAGTGTTTTACATGCTTCCAATTAAAAGGTCAATTGTAGGTTATGAAAATATTTTTTTCAAATTGGTCTAGTTCATGTTATAGAATACATTGTGTCCTACACTTCGATTTTACCACGGTCTAACTCTTCACTTAAGAGTTAATCTTGTTTGTATTGCAACTTTCAACTGGATAGGCTTTAAGTGATTAGCGCTTATTTCTACGAGTGATTCCTACATTTTTTAGAAAAACAATATTGTCGTGACGGGCAGTGTCCAAATACTGACACTGATACACAGTGTGCTACGCGCTAACCTCTCAACCAACTACTTGAGCGAGAACACAAGAGTGAGCAAAGAAGTATATTGGGCTGTCCAATAAAGTGCACAGATACTCATTTACATATATGCCACTCTAACTCTTAGAAAATTGATTCATTTCTGAGTCAATAAAATGCACTTGACCTTTAAGTCACTTCTGATTGTCATCTTTTGACCTCATTAGGCTACTTTTTATTGGCTTACCATATCACCTTTCCCTCCTGAAACATAAATCATTGGATTTAATTGAAGGCGTTGAAGTAAATGTCGTCCTGATAATCTTCTTGGGGTCTGGATATCAATTCTTCTGCGCTGATCTTGCCGCTCCAGACCAACCGTATCAATTAAATAATCCAGTCACAAGTTCGAGCAAGGGGATTATTTTTCGGATTTAATCGTCTATCTCGGATGTGGTTTACATATTGCGTACATCACGTCACCGACTCGTCTTACGATGACACTGGCTATCCACGTAGGTCCCCATTGTTGAAAGTTCCTTATGTACACTGGTAACACATTACGAGACTGACGTTCAATTCTCTTCACCGTGGATCTATAATCTGGTCTTCTTTTTTGTGGGTACATGATATCAAATTAATTCCGAATCTTCCTTCCGAACATTGACTCAACAGGAGAAAAACCTTAGGTGAGGCCGGATTGAGGGTTATTGATGGCGATTCTCTCGGTCGTACCATTCTAGTGAACAGTACACGGGTGGGGACAATCGGATGTATTTAACACAAAATTACAGAGCATCTCAATATAATCTGAGAAACATATATTAAGTCGTTGATTTGCAAAATGTCCACCAATTGTTTCAAAATGCTTCAGACTTCATTGTCCTTGCATTTTCATACAAATTGCATTTTATTCCCGCTCTTGCTTTCTTGATTTTTCCCCATCTTCTGCTGCCAGACATTACATTCCTGACTCGCATAATATACTACTTATATCAATATAAGTAGCACTCACTACACCATCACCTTGTAATCATTCTGAATATCATAAGGAAATTTCTGTCACCATTTGTGCATCATATGAGGAGATGAAGATATTTGGTTGCAAATAATGTTAGATGACCTGTCGAACATCTTTAAAAATGGATTACAAATAAGATTAAATGGGTGATCGAACATTTTTAATTATGTGATCTGGTCAAGACCCAATAGATTGAAGTGTTCATCACTTACATAGCATATGGATTTGATTATTAGATCATTAGATTTGACAGTACATTTGATAATTCCAGAGATGTGAATTGAAATACCCGATACATTCTTTATGCAGCAAGTAGTGAGATGAATGCTTGGCCGACCAAGTTTGTGCCAAGTTTTTCGAGAAATCAAAGTAATATCGGATGCAGTGTCCAACTGCAGAGTGGTAATATGATCATTAACATCAATGGATATATACTTGCGTAATCGTTGAGGGTTAGATTTAGTCAAAACAGGTTTCTTGAAAATTCGGTTAGATCAAAAAGAAATAAAAGTTTGTGAACCCCTTGTTACTACATTCGCAGTTGATTACTGACTAGATTAGGTAATTGAGTTATTGCGGCACTGCTGTTCAACTTTTCATTATTATGAAACCTAAGACAAGGTTATTGATAATAAAGATTTTCTTCGTTTAATTGAAGATGACAACGCTGATTTCCAAGGCTTAAAGAATGATGATAACAATTTCAAGTTACTTTTAGTATCTTGAGCTCGAATTTACATTGCAATTTTCATTAGTTACAAATCAGTTTCATATGAACTAATGGATTTTCGCACCTAACGATTATCAGTTCGCTATGCAATTTTCCAGTAATTACCGTAACTGGTTTTCCAAGTACAGGTTTATGAGTTCAGCTTTAAGACACTATTCATTTTAGTATATGAGGTAGTGATGCTGCTCGATGCGGTTCAGACCTATGACCCAACAATGGCAAGTTATTTTTCTCGTCTTCATCGTTCAAGGACGCGCGTTTTGACTAACAGACCAAAGGTTCGAACTCTTTACTTGGGTTAGTCCAAGCACTTAAATTATGTCACTAGCCTCATCACCTTTGTAAAGAGTATACTTAGTAAATAATTCACATCATAACTTGGCTAAAAACGATCCTCATTCTTCGTTTTTTTTCTAAAATTAATTATTACTTTTTAGAACCGAATGATGAGAGTGCGGCTAATGTGGATGCAGCAAAAACATGGCGTGAAGATAAAGCGCGTTTCAATAGTCTAGCACTTCGAAGTGTACGTATTAGTTTGGGTATTTCGGCGGAATAAGATATTATCAGAAAATAGAAGGAAAACAACAATGAAACAATAGAAACTAAGCGTGTCTTTCGACTTTTAAAAAAAAATTTATCTTTCATTTTGTTATGTAGTTCCTTCAAAACAATTCCTATTGTGTTATTATCACTTCATTTTTTATTGTTGTTGTTATTAGTATCTTTTTGTTTTCTGATCGAGTCAATCATGAACGATCTTATGACTTTTATGATTTTGCTTTAATAACTGTTTATTGTGTAAGCTCCTTCTTTAGAGAATGAAAAATAATACGAAGTTGACTATTTTTGGTGTGATCGAAATTAAGATTTGCCTGATGATGTTAATGACATGACAATTTGGCCGAAATGGTTTTTTGTCTGAGACTTATTTGTATCTGTTGTTGGGTTTGTCAAATGCAATTATTATAATCTGGAAGAATGATGTGAAAGATATTTGTATGTTTGTTAGTTGTATGAGATGTGAACAGGATGAAATATGTATGGACATTGTGTAAATGGTCCATATCAAGCAGATCATTAAACCTTCCTTTCTATCAAGTGCTGTAAGTTTTAGCAATACAAAAACCAGCCACTGGTTTTTTTGTATAAACGGAAAATCATATTCGGATTAATTTGGCATAAATAAGGATTTTATGGTTGATAAAAGGGCATTTACTGCTATTGCTTATTTGTTTTGTTGATTTTATGGTTCTAAAGGGTTACCTGGAGTTCTCTTTGTGTAGCTTAGATGTTCTCTCGCATAAGTCATGATTTCACATCAAGACTGCAATATAGAATCCATAACAATCCGTAACGCTGTGTCGAATTGGTAGGGATTTTAACTTTTATTTCAACTAAAGCATTTCGAAGTGTTGATTGTTTTATAGGATGCTTTTATTTTTTGGGATTAAGGATTCGTTATGGCTCGTCTGTTGTGCCATAAAGGTATGGTAGAACTGTAGTACCAACCCGTGATATTCCATTCAATTTACTATTATGCGTTTCACAATAATGAAATAATAATTATCGAGTAGATACGTTACGTAATAATTATATAATGACATCGATTATACATTAATATTGAGTAATTGAAAGAAAGAGGATTAATAATAATTAGAGTAGTTATTCGAAAATCAACCAGGTGCTACGTTGCATTATATATAAAAGAAGAGAAGGGACTAACAATATTTTGATGATCGGTCAGTAATTTAGTAGTTATGTACTTCGTTTAGTAGTATTCAGGATAAAGTAATTCGCCTGGAGTTTGTTAGTTGTTTTTCTTCTCAGCTGATGTTACGATTATAGTGCCTCATCTGAAGAAATTTAGAGCGAAAGAAATTTTTACATTAAGTGGGTGTGCTAAGCTGAAATTAAAGTAATTATTCGAGTGTCAACTTGCGATGGATGGTTAGTTCAAAACTTCGGTTTTAACATGATAGTCCATAAAGTTCATTTCAAAAGTGAATTTGAGATGATCTGAGGAAGTGTTAGTTTAAAAAAATTTGGGTTTGCTACTTCTTTATGCTCCCGAAAGAAGCTAACTAATGGTTCAACTTGTGTAAGAGAGACAAGAAGAACCTGTGCGATGTATCGTTTATATCTGTTAAGTCTTGTGTTTCAGATATTTTCTGCAAAACATATACCTAAATTTGATTTCTAAGACAATATGATAGTGTTTCTACTTAGCCCCTTGGGAAATATGTTTCTAAATAAGGTGAATGTAAATCGACTTAGGAAGATTGGTCCACTTTACATTAGTTGGCAAACTGACGGATTATTTTGAAATTTCAGACTACAGTGGTTGGTTAACGTAACAAAAGTAGTTGCAATTCAGTCATGTGTCTTGTCACAACTTTTGACTTAATATATGGGATTTTGACTTTTTGAAAAATAACCACGTATTATCAACTCAGGTCATACTAGTCGAGCCATCATACCTATTTCACAGAAGAATATCAATGGATAATGTTCCGTCCTGAACATGAACTGAGTGACTTGGGATGGCCTGATCCCCTTCATTTCACTTAATGATAGTAAATAACCTGTTAAGTATTGACAGACGCGGAACACTGATGTGTGGGCGAGAATGATAATGATTGGTTGTCTGCTTAGTCAGACATGTAGATAGTCTGACAGGTGTCAGATGAGTTATATATTCCCCTATCCTTATTATTATTGGGACTCATTATTGATTGTTCATTGTTGTTAGATTGTGTCGGGCTTTTGGTGTGGAAATATATTTACGTTGTGGTCAGGCTAATCATGTGTTCTTGATCTGAGTTGTGTTGAAGTCCTGTAGAATAGACACTGGGCGGGAATCTAGTGTAGATAATGGTTTAAGGTAAATTAACGTCCCATACGTGTAAGCGTGGAAACCCAACCGTTATAACATTAGAAGAAGTAAAACCGAGCGTCATGACAAACACTGATAGTCATATTCTCATCTCGGATTTCACGGACCATTACACTCTCGTAAATCCATATCAAATTTATTGAAAGAATCAACAAGAACTTTGTATCCACGGGAGAAGCAGTGGTTTCGGACAAGAAGGTGGGAGTAAAACGTATGAAGTAGTCTGAACTACTTTTATAGATAATGAGGAGAACGACTAGTTGTGGGATGATTTATCATATTGTGTGGTGGTCGTCGTTTAACGTGGACAAACACAGAGCCCACGTACTATTAAATATGTGATTTCCTTTCTTGTGATTGATTTCTACTACGAACTCACTGAATGTGATTGCTTTCAGCAAAGTATTGTGTAGTGTTTATTTGATTCTCTATTTTAAGTCGTGAATCCCAGTTCTGATATAACATGATTAGTCTTATTAAGGTTTTTTCGTAATAAATGCAAGAAAGAATAACATTCGTTACATCACATGGAAATGTTTTGACAGGAATCTTGGGATAAAACATATTGGATGCCGCTTTAGATCATGACCTCAAAACAGTGGTTTTCATTTTTCAGGTAACTCCGAAGTGAGTATTGATCTAACTGATGATCTGTTCTCAGGTAGGGCGTCTCGAATTTCACAGGTTTAAGTGAGTTTAATCTAAATATGACAATGAGATCCTCAGATCGCTTGTGTAGTCGTTTGGAATCAATCAAAACATAATTAATAATAAGTAAACCATCAGAATTAGAATGAGAACTATCTATCTATAGTTTAGAGTTATGTACATAAATAGGATTGACTGGAGAATCATCGGAATTAAAATTATCATCAACTACTTTAAGATTCGTTACGACGTTTCCCTGTACAAATATGGGAGTAAATACCTCCTTGAATAATTTTCCTTATGATTATGTAGCGGTAAATAAATCCCCAAAATAAATAGCTCTGTAAGTCTTCGACATTGGATGCTGAACATATGTTTTAATGGACTCGCCTAGCTGAAGGCGCTCGGTCAGGCATCCGCACCAGATCACGTGTGGGAACGCCGTGCTCAACATCTACTGCAATCGCTAGCTAGACTAGATCAGACAATTCTGATATATTGACAATCGTCAAATACAACTTCTGTTCTCCTCGATTCTGTCTTTTGATTTCTCTTGGTGGGTACGCGTTATATTAGAAGGTGTTACTGGTGTAAGCGTTGTCAAACACTGGATACCTGTGCCATCTTCAATCATCACCTTTTCGCTCCGTTGTATTTATTGCTGCTCCTACTAATGTTTGCAGTTTCGTATATTTGGTTTGCTTGCATTTATTACACCTATATTGTTAAAAAAATTCTGAATAGTAAATAAATCACTGATGTTGATAAGTCCTCAAGTAAGTGTTTACATTTGTTTTACATTACATTTCTTTGCGGTGATCAACATTTTAGACTGCTTGCTTAAGTTTGTACTTTGTGGACTGATCGCTTCTGTCATATGAGGATGATTTTGAAGTGAGTTCTCTGTTCGTTTAAAAAATGTTTACCATTAAATAGTGTGAATTATTCGTATTTTTTCACACATTTTTTTCTGGTTACCTACACATTTTTGCACTGACTGACTGTACATGAGATATTGATCCATCTGATACCTCAACAACGTGATTTGAGATGTGTTAATAACTAATTATTCTGACAAGAGCGTTGGATTTATTAGCTTCTGAGTTTGACAGTTTAGGAATACCTTTGCCCTTTCTTGCATCATCTTCTAGGAACAATAATGATAAGCTTGCTATTCCGTACTAAAACTGCAAACATCCATATGGGAGATGCACCAATAACGAGGTATTATAATCAAAAGTACTCGAATTATATTATTAAACAAGAATTCCTGGAACAGTGCAAGTTAAACCAAATAAGACTAGGTGAGTACAAACGGACGTACTGTATTTAGAATTCGATATCAAGAAGGAATCAAGTTTAAAACAATCATTGCTTGGCACAAACACCACACAAGCATAGAGTCTTAGTTGTTGAAATAGTTTGAGGAAATCTACAGGATTATGGTCTACGTCGTTGTTAGTATTATTATAATAATAGACCTAATCCTGAAATTGCAGATATTTCATGGTATGACTGTCTAATCTATGAGTCACATCACTGTCTACGCTGACTCATCGTATCGTAACAGTTAACAATATGATGTCTGGAGTTTGTAAAGATCTTATTCAGACTAAAGATAGGATAAATACATATAGAGTGAATTAAAACAATTTATACAAAATGACCATGATTGGTAGGCTAATCCACGCAACCTACTACAACTACTTTGAAATCCTTGCACGGCACCCGATAGGAAGAAATCCAAAGTAATAACACTAGTTAGTAAATTCGAAATTTGATCTGCAGTATCTTCCCTCAAATATATTGTTTACGTTTTTACATCTGTCACCGACTTCGAAAATCGTACAACTTTATCATAGATTAAGATAAAATCAGAGCCATTAGTACGCAAATAAATGTATAAATCCTGTGACCTATGCCCCATTTATCTATACACAGAATAAACATATTCATTAACTAGGAAGGAAACAAGAGGATAACTACTTTCTCCTTACGCCAATGTACAAACTGTACCAATAATGAATAACCGATTTTTCGTGGCACGAGTGATTAAAATACTCGTAGATTTTAGATGCTCGCCGCCATAATAAAACAAAAAAAGTTTGTTGGAAATAACCAGTTTTATCGTGTGTTTAAATGAGACTCGCCTATGATAGCATGTCCATGAAACTGCAATATTCAGATTCTGATAATGTGGTCACAAAGCACAAACAAATTTTTCGAATCGTGACTTTCACGTGTTCTGAATTATGTCACACGACGATTGTCTACTAGTAATATCTTTTTCCGTTGAGTGGGAGTAGAGTTGGTCTGTTTGAAAAAGCGAGATTTCTTACCAAACGATAATTTTTCCTTCCTCCACCAGTTAACTACTGCTTGACTCCTAGGGGGGTTGCTCTCTGTCCCAGGTAGTAGTAAGCAGAGAAGGGTTTTCGTGATGTTAACAACGCCATCCGATAGACACGAACTTTACCTAAGAAACGTCAACTAAAAAAACCATTCGAAGAATTTAAGTTCTACCCGGCGGTTAAAAATTTGTAGTGACTCACGTTTATCACGAGAACACGACTGGTTTAATAAAAACAATTATTATTATAACCAGCTGTACCAGTGTTTGTTTTAACGTGCTTTTGTTTGACTGTGCTAATGACAGCTATTTTGTGCTTCCATTCTTATACTC